AGATCTTCAGGGACAAAGCCATGATCAGAATTGTCTGAAATAAAATTCGAAGAAAAAATTTGGCTAACAGATTAGCACCATAAGAGATGGAATTAGCTGAAACCCCTTTAAGATGAACCGACGCAGGTATATTTGAGCAGTTTTCTTAGCTTTTATGTAACTCCAAAAGGCCTTCGGGTTACATTTAATATTGCTTTCTATATTACGAATATAATTTCGATGCAAAGACTTGTTCAGTTTGTTGAATTTACCTCTGTAAGATACATACCGCTCACGAAAATTAACAGAATGCTTTTGCTTTTTATAAAACTTATTCTTCAAGTTCCTTAGTCGTTTGAGTTCTCATATTCGAGATATGTACTGTGCTGGAGTCGAGTTATTGCTAAAAATCATCAAGTGTCGAGTATGTCGAACGCCCGATTGGTCCAATGGACGTGAATTGCCAATATTACTGTGGGTTAAAGCTTCATTTGTAGACAACAGGACTGAGTTGGCCAGGGGTCAACCTCAAATGACCACCGTTAAGTCAACCATCAGAACCCTTGCGATCCTTAATAAGACATCTAAGTTATTTCTTCAGAAATAAGTCTATGTATATAGACTTTCTGTAGAACAACGATACTCACCCACCAACTATACTACGCAGTTTCAAGTACAGATTCACTATCGAAACGGATAATTTTTGCCGCCAGGGAGTGAAGAGGAAAATATTCTTCAAATGTATTTCGTTGTGCAGTTGGAGAATTTCAAGACCTTCCTCACGAACATACACTTTTGCTAGATTATTTAAGACGGCACGGGAAATATACCTTCTGACAACCACTAAACCGTAATATTACAAGATAAATGCGTCACTGAAAATCATTAACGTGAACTGTTGGTGAAAATGTTGGACCAAAATATTTCAATCAAAAGATAAAATTAATTTTTGGCGGTACGAAGTTCGCCGGGTCTGCTAGTAATAACATAAAAACAGATTTGGTTTTTATTAGTCCCGTAACTTCAATTGCATTTCTGCTTGGGTTCAAAAATTTAAAGCCAGAGGTTTGTCTCTACGGGATGGCATTGGTGTTATTGAAGAATGGAGAATACTTAACGAATATTGAAAAAAATTTAAACGATCAGCAAAAATCTCCATTATTTCACAACATAAATCAACACTTGATTGGTCATTATAATTTTTCAATCCTCGAAAAAACTGAATAAGAAACAAAACATTAAACCGTTCATAAATTTAATTGTTTTTTGTTTTCCGAGCATATTCGCTTATTTACTAATGCTTTAGTGCTAATCTAAGCGCTGAAAATGGATTTATTTTTACTTATTTTCTTCGGCCCTGTTGAAATGTATGAAGCTGTGTTAGCGTTAGCGGTTCCAGAGATAAGCTCTGTGGGAAGTTCAGTTTGTATAGGAGGTGCATCCGTGCTAAGTTTCAGTTCCCCATCGTAATAGGTTTTAGATATATTGGCGTTTTACGTTTTAGTCTGTATAAGAATTTTAGGCATATCTCGACCCCAGCGCCACCTAACCGAGTAAAGTTTTGGTCAGAATATTTATTTTCAAGGTGCTGGCATATGTTCCAAATATGAACCAAATCGGTGCAGCCATTTAGTAGTTTAGTGAAATACAATGTTCAGAAAACTATATGAAATTGTAAAACCTTGACGTCTCAGATTTCTTAATTTTTTGGGAGCAGCAACAAAAAGTTTAAAGTTTTTGTTTTTAGCGAAATACCTTCCACACAGAATTTCCAAAAAAGTACGATTGGTTATGATTGAACACACTTAAATTTAATATCAATAAAACTAAGTTTATATCAATGCGAAATTGTGAAAACAGTGCGGTGCTAACTCTAAATATAAACAACGAAATACTGGAGAAAGTTAATACATTCAAATACCTAGGAAAAATTATCAATGATAGACTGAAAAAGGGATTCTATATTTTCGGTTAGACACCTAGCAATATGCACATCGGTTAAAAATGCATTTAATTCCATACATTAGTTTTTGCGTGACGCGCTGACATACATACAGGCAGACAGACCAAAATTCTACAAATTGTTGATTTGCCTTCTGTTGATCTAACAAACCCCCTATTAATTTTTCTTTAATATCTATTATGTACAGATATCGGCCTGTTACAATTTTATTATTCTCAAATACTTTCGCTTGATATCCATATATCAACATTTAGCTTTTCTTAGCAATTTAACTGAATTAAAATGTTCAAACAGGCGACCCGCTTCAAAAATATTTTCGAAAGTAAGCTTTCTAAAACTTTTTAAAATAATATCAGTATTGTAATATTTTATTTATATTACCAATTTAAATAAATAAAATTTTTCAAACAGGTGGCAATATATAAATATTTTCGGGCGTAAAATTTCCTACCCTCTTTAGTTTGATGCCAATACTGCAATATTTAAGTTATGTTATCAATTAAATTAAATAAAAGTTTCCAAACAGGTGACTACCTCCCACAAAAATATTATCAGCTTTAAGCCTTTGTAAGCCTCTTTCTTTTGACAGCCATATTGCAATATCACAGCGCACGTAAGTGCGCGCAAGTGACGAAAGCAGCAACAGTAGCATGCTGAAATGACTCGCTTATATATACACGGGATTTGGAAGTTTTTATCCAGACCTCCAATCAACATGTTTGATATATCGTTGGAAAGGTCTTGCAGTCCAGGTCTTGTGTCCAGAAAATATATTCAAGCTTCATAAACAATTAACCGGATTCTTAAAAATTAGGCGAAAGTGTTGCGAAACAAAAAACGTTTTTTTGCTTTTGCCGGTTTATGGGGGCATATGGGCCAATACCTTTCAAACGATACCTTATATATTAAGTCCGGCCACTAGTTGGAAAGATATAGAGGTGTTTTGGTTCGT